AAAAAAAAGTACAATATCGGAAGCAGTAAATCAATGGTTAATACAAACGTTGACGAATTGGATAAAACCAACAACAAAACAACGATTAATTTTATCAACAATTACTTTGCCAACAATACCATCGACAATAACAACAACTACAACTACAACCTCTCGTCCATCTGTACGTTTACCTTTGTGGTCAGCTTTATTAGTTGCCTATGAAAAAGGTAATGAAGTATTATATAATGGTATGAAATATCGATGTGTTACTTCTCATCGATCATATGCTGGTGCTGAACCAGGTCTTCTTACTTGGGCTTTATGGCGTAAAATTCAATAAAAAAATTTTCTTTCTTACTTTTAAATAAATATCTATAGTTAATAGAGAAATATTTCATGCTGGCATATTGTATTTATTTTGTCAAGTACAAAGAAAGCAAAACAGAGTTCTATTTATGTAAACATAAAGTTTATATACATAAAAAAGATACCATCACCAGGCAAACGTATGATTTCATTTAAGAGGTTGTTCTGCTGAGAGAACGTAACTTTTAACTCGTGAAAAGATTAATGGTGGATATGTATGACGATCATTAGTTACATTAAGTACTGTAGAACGTTCATCACTTGTTCGTCTATATATATATAAAAGAAAAGAAATTCATGAAAAAGAAAAAATAGAGTTTTACTTATTCGTAAATCGAATCTCATAATGTGCCCATATAAGTTGATGATGTTTTTTCTTTCCAACATCAGACATTTCAAATTCCTAGAGAGAGAGAAAAAAGATTAGAATAATTAACAAAAGAAAAGAATAATATTACTAACCATATTCATAGTTTGTTCAACATCAGATAATGACAAATCTTTGCCAGCACGTCTTTGTGGATTATTCATAGTAGTAGAACGTTGAGCCGTACGTTTTGCTACAATTACGACCTAGAAATTCGATGTTAAGAATGATTTATATGTTTCTTTTTGAATTTACTCGATTATTTTGTAAACGATAATTTCCAAAAATAAGTGATGGATCACGAATTGAATATCGACTTTTTAAACGAGCAACTGTTGTACGAGGTTCATCAGCTATTGTATAAATAAATCTTCTATATCTATATTATACATACATCATTTTCTTACCACTTGTATATATTAAAACAACACCTATATTTTAAAATAAACCTCTATATTAATATATATAAAATAAACTAATTAGAAACAAACCATCAGGAAAAAAACGCATATATCGATAATATTCAACTAGATGCCATGGTGAATAAAATGTATCTAAAGATTGTTCACCTTGACGAATATATGATGCTCGACTAATATACACACCTTAAAACATAATAACTTTTAATTTCAAATAGCATATTATAATTAAGATTTTCAAACTGAATTTCACATCACTTTTTTTTTACCATTAAAAACGACATGTGGTCTATTAATAAACATATGACGCCAATTAATATGTACAGATGAATTTCCAGTATTAACACCCCAAGTTTTAAAACAAATCATTTTCCATAGTTGAGGATCACGTGCACATATATAAAAACCTCGACATACACGTGCACATTGTTCTATTGAACGAACATCTAAGTCAGATGATATAACCCAACGAAATATATAAATTAATACTTCCGATGGTATACATGACATATGTGTAGCCTAATAAATAAATTTTGTTTTGATTTAAATTCGAAAAGAAAGATTTACTTGTTGAGGAAAATTTTTCGTACATATAATTGAACGTTCATTATCATCTACATTGACAAGTTGTAATGAATCAATAAGATTATTTTCATCGTCACATGCTTCATTTGTATGTAGATCTTCATTAATATTTCCTCTACATATAAAATACAATTTTTTTTATATATAATTACAAACTCATACTCTTTGGAATTGAATTCCGTTGTTGTTGTGGTTTGTTGTTGTCCTTTTCGAGCCATACGAAATTCAATATCAGGTACTAATTGCATTGCTGCTCGATAATATTTTATAGCTAAACGTAAATGAATAATTTTACATGGATTTCCCTTTTATAATTCTTACCATCGTATAACTTTCCTTCACGTTCTAATTCTGTAGCACGTTCAAAAAAATGTTTAGCCTAAAAAAAATAAAGATTAGAACTCAAAAAAAGAAAATCTCAATTAAAAATTCTCTACTTGTTCCTCATTATTAATAGCTTCCTCTTGTTGCTCTTTTTGTTTATCATTGAGAACATGTCCATAGACAGTTCTTTGTTGAATTTCTGTTTTCCATTTTACACGAAAATCATCTAATTGTCGCTCAATTCGACGTTCATTCGTTCGTTGTTCCGTCATTTCATATTCACAATCATCACTATCTTGGTCAGACTCCTAATGAAAATATGAACGTAAATAGATATAAGATATATATACGTATATCGATAAAATACCATTTTGAAACTAAAGACTATTTAAAGATCACGGAAAGAAAATTGAATAATTGTATGATATAATTTTGCTCGACGAGTACCAGCCATTCGATGAAAGACAGTAAAACTACAAAACGAAAATGCCCTTTTACCTTTTTATATTTAGTCCGAAATTTTGGATAATATCCATATTTTATTCAAAATCTAATACTGACATCTACGATAAGGTAACGTATATATATTTATGATGCAATTATTCTTAGAAATTTGTAAACGATAGTAAATTCTTACGAAATAACTTTGAATATTTAATTCTTAGGTAATTATTCCACTGAGGTCACTAGTCGATAACTAAACAATTGTAATAATTACTCGGTTTCATTGATTTCTTTTTTTCTCAATATTAAATACTTAAAATCATCGACAAATTTATACAAGATACACATTGAAAGCAATTCAAATGAATATTTTTTTTTAAAAATTCTGATTTTATTCATAATTAGCCAAACAAATGCGAGATTAGATAAAATCTAAACACATTTTCAAATTTGTTTCATGCGGACTTTTGGTGATAATGGAATAGGCTCATTTGTAATCAAACTCGTTAATGTTTTTAATGGTTGTCGTTTAAAACGTTTGTAAATTAAATTGCATAGATCCACGTATCGATCAAAAGCATTGTCATTATCAAATGGAGCAAAAAGTTGTTTCATATGTGGATACAACGGATTTGGTAAACATGGTAAATCATAATAAAGTACATTTGCATGCCATATTAATAGAGTTACACATAAACCAAGAAACATATCAACAGAATAATGATGTAATCCAACAATAGCTCGAATAATTCGTTGAATAACTTGAATCCAAATAAATAAACGTATTGATAAACGAAATATTCGAGATGGATATGATGCACAAAGAATTGTCACAGCTAATGCTGATATTGTATAAACGATAACATGACCACTATACAATAAATCATTACATGCACCACCTAACCAAAAAAACGAAGACTATCAATGAAAGAACAAAAAAATGTTTTTTTTACCTGGGCTTAAATTAAATGGATCAATTGGTCCAGTAAAATTACATTTTGGATTAGGATTTGGTAAAACAGTTATTGAAAATGTTATTACCCGAAGTGTACGAGCTATTGTTAAACATCGAACACCTTTCTGTAAAACTTTTAGTCCTCTTGGACCATGTAAAAAACAATAAAAGATCCATAAAAATAACACACTATTTGTATTAACTTGATATGTATTTTCACCAATAGATGCAAAATCAATAAATATCCGATTTCTATCACTTAAATATTCTTCAGCTATATCACGTAGTGGTATACGATTATGTTCTAATGATGATATAACTTGTATCATAGTATTTTCAGTAAGTAATTCAATACCCATAAATATAAGATCACGTATTGATTTAAATGCATATATAGCCATTTCACGTGTAACATGATCATGAAAAATTCGTGAAAATGTATTTATATGAAGTATTAATGAAAAAATATTTCCATGCTCATATTGAGCAGAGTTATATTGACGGGAACGCGAAACCTTAACCATATGTATTACTGTTGGTTGCGCATCAGCAATTCAACATTCTGCGTCAATGAAAAGTACAGAACAAATCGATGATACTCGTGCAATGTACGACATACATACCTGCACGGGGGCTACGATAATGATCAACGAAAATGAACTAAACATGACGTTGACTAAGTGTCAATATATAACAATGTTTGATCTCTCCTTCATTTCTTTATGTAGTATATATCTATAGATATATCCCAATCATGTCTACAAACTTCTTAGTCAATACTAAAATAAATGTCATGTTACTAAAAGAAAAAGATTAATACAAAATAATTCTTCTTTTATTTGATCGATAAATTGAATATTTCTACGTGAATTTTTTAAATATGAAATCCTTTTTAAGATCAAAATCTTGTTATTATTTTAATATTCAATAAAATATCTCATCGTATAGATTTATAGTGTTTTAAATTGATTCAATTAATAGTTAGATAGATGACTGATTTTATCTATTAAAGAAAAAACCATTGGATAATCAAGATAAATTTAAAAAAAAACAATATTTGACTTTGATATTATTCATTAAAAATATTATTCATATAGTTATAGTCAGTGACAATTATATGTAATTGCATTCAAAGAGGAAGTGTGTGTTTGTACGTACGTACTTTCTTCGTATTTCTAAAAAAAAAACTTGCATTACTCCTTTTTACCTTGACGTGTATTCGCGTTTGAGTCATAGGAAAATATAAGCGTGAAATTGTCATGTATCAATCAATAGCGTCAAATTATATGACCATAACGACTAATGTTGAAAAATGCACGCCTACAAACACTTAAAAAAGTATGTATATACGATTAGTACTACGGTATTTATAAAACATTTCAATTTAATTCAATTTGTTTTCTTGTTTATCATTTTGTCTATTGAATTTTTTGTCTTGATATCATCAACTGCAATCAATGAAGAAGGACGTCTTTGTGTCCATCATTACTTTTTGCTTGTATTTTGTGAAGAAGAAAAACAAACTTGTAATATAAAATATGCAATGCTTTCGATTTATTGGAAAATATTGTATAACCTAATATTTGTATTATCATAATATGCAAAAGAGGATGAAACAAAAATACATATTTAAATAATTTATAAGAAGAAATATTCAGCATATATGTCACAGATGGCTTTATTGTTTTCTAATGAATATGCATCATAGGATATATCGAAGTATATAAGCACTTGGATGTGCTTCTTTTGGCTATATTTAATTTAGACTCAAGTGAAAAATCATGCGAACAATGATTCGAGTTTTTACTGTTATGTGCTTTCTTGCTGCAATTATTAGAGCTGATGATAGTGACAACATGATCTTTGCCAGAGATGATAGTCAACCATTGACAAACAATAATCCTGTCGCAGATGAAAATGAAGTTCTTGTAACACCTCAAACTGATTCATCTGAAGATCTTTCAATCACTCCAGATCAATTCATTCCAATTGTTTCAGACAATTCAACTACTAACAATTCTGACTCTGAATCAAATAGCAATTCTGACTCTGAATCAGATAACAAATCTGATTCTGATTCAAGTAGCAGTTCTGACTCTGATTCAAGTAGCAGTTCTGACTCTGAATCAGATAGCAATTCTGATTCTGGATCAAATGACAGTTCCGAAGGCGAGAATGAACTTGATGCTGAGCAACTAGAACAAATAATTGAAGCTGAAGGTTTGGATCGACAAGATAACGATGATGAAAATGAAGTAGTTATTGTCGAGGAAGAAGATGTAACAGTCTTCAACTAACAACTATTCACATATTGCCTTTATTTTACACTTGCTACATTATAATTTTTATTTATTCATCTATTCAATTCGATTTAATCACATCAATGTATTTCAATTTTCCTTTTAAATAAATATTACTAGAAATACCTATATTGCTTTTCTTTCTTTCTTTTTAATCAATTAATAGTCTTCGACTGACATGTCAAAAAGTAATTTTTGGAGGGGAAATTGCTTTAGATTGATATAATAGTGAACTAAATATAGCTAGAAGACATGGAAATTGAATTCGTTGTTGTTCAATGAAAATAGCAGACGATTTTATAGAGCATTCTTTTCTTTCCCATCGAGAACTTGAGACTCTACCGCCTCGCCATAACAACGTTAAAGATGAGTACATCTCACCGAGATTAAAAACTCATTCTCATTATAATAATCGTTGTATAAGATCAGACGTTATATAGTGACATCTGTTAATAAACATGATAAGACGCATTGAATTGGAAAAATTAGAGGATTTGTTGTATGTTTACACTGGTACTTTTATTTATTCAATCAAAATATATATTCGACATTCCATGAGTCATATTTGTCTATCATGTGTCTATAAAATAAAGCTTAATACTCGAAAATAATCATTTGATAGGTTTCATTCGTAATTTTGTCATATAAGTGATCAACTGATTCTTGTTGTTATATCTTGAATAGATTTTAATATAAATATCAGTATTTTATTTTAGATTTTTACTATAAAATAACTTTTTGAACATAGAAGTGATTAAATTACATAACAATATATAAATATTGTACTAATATATTCGAATATTTTTTTTTCTTTTATAGATGACGATGATTAAGAATTTATCTATATTAGAATCATTACCAAATGAAATTCTTTTTGATCTATATGGATATTTCGATGCCCACGAACTCTATAAATCTTTTTATAATCTTAATTCTCGTTTTAATTATCTTCTTAAATCTTTATCAAATCTTTCGATTCATTTTCGTTCATTGAATACGCATTTATTTTATCATCCGATGATATTTTTTTCACAAATTCGTACTCTTAGTATCTATTCTCAAGAAAATATTAATTTCCATCAATTTCCTAATCTTCGTAGTCTTATTATATGGTCTCCGACAGATGAACAAATCTTTCAAATAAATAAAGAATCTTTTCCTTCTATTGAATACCTTTGTGTATCATTTTCTATTGCAAAACCTTCGATTTGTTCTTTATATCAAAAGATTTTTTCCGATGGTTTTCCTTCATTAAAATCTTGTTATTTATGTGGATGTGAATCACCCAAAAATTCTATTCAATGGAGTCAATCACCAAATCTTCAATATTTACATACTACATCAAACAATTCATCTATTCTAAATTCTTCTCCGAATTTATATTCTTTGACTTTAGATTTATTAATCTTAGACGATTTATTAATTAATTTTAAACCTCATTTTAATCTTAAACGTTTAGAATTAATTATTAATAGTATTATTTGGTTACATGATGAAAATAATTTTGAAATTCTATTTTCATCATTACCAAATATTGAACGACTCAGTTTTCATAAAACATTTTCTATAATAAATTCTATTGATATACTTTTTAATTATAATTGGTTATCAAGTATTATAATTCATTGTTTACCGTTATTAAAACAATTTACTTATCATCTACATATTTTCAATTTACTTAATATAGATCAAACAGATTTGAATGTACATTTACCGAAAATAAAAGAGAATTTTTTGAAAATCTATAAGAATCATTCGAAATTTTCTCTTAAAATAAATTAATAAAAATATTCTATTATTTTTAGATATGATTACTTCATTAGAAGATTTATCTAATGAAGTATTTTTAGAAGTATTCGATTATGTTAAAATTCATGATTTATCCTATGGTTTTTTGAATTTAAATAAACGTTTAAATCAATTGATTCGTTCACTTAAAAATTTATCTTTAATTATAAAAAAAGAAAATACATATGAAAGTATTGCATTTTCTCAACAAATGATTCGTATTGTTGTTGTTACATTAGCTAACATTGAATTAAATCCTTTTAGTAATTTACGATCTTTAACATTAAATATGGCTAACGAAAATCATTTAAAACAAATTCGATCAGATGTTTTACCAGATCTTGTCTATCTTTCAATACCAATCTCATTCGATTTTCAATTGACAAAACAATTAGCATCTGAAATATTTTCTAATTGTTTTACATCTCTTCGTTATACAGATTTGCGTATAGTAAATATGCCTGATTTTTTATCATGGTCACAATGTTCATCTCTTCGTTCGATTCATTTATTTTCTCCTAATATTAATATAATACCTTTAATTCTTCAAACATGTACTCAATTAACATATTTTGGAATACGTATTACGAATGAACATAGATTAAAAATCTTTTCATTACCAAATATATCAAATCATCCATTAAAAGAATTTATTTTTATACAACCTCGAAATTCGACATTTATTTTTGATATAGAAAGTATTTTTCCTTTAATACCAAATCTAAAACGATTAGATTTACAATTATATACAACATCATTTATTGATTTAATTGAATTAATTTCCAAATCATTTCATAATTTAATTTGTTTCAATTGTTATATTATGGAATATCGAAATAAAGATGAAATTATTGATATTTATAAAATAAGAAATATTCATTCATCTTATTTTAATATTCAATATATATTAAGAGAACATGATTCTTGTTTATATACAACACACCAGGTTTGAAAATAGAAATTCTTTGATAAATTAACCTTTATTGCAATGAAAATATTGTTTTTGTTTTCTAGATAAATTTTTTAATCTTTATTGTAAATAATGAAGAATTTAATTCGATTAGAAAATTTACCTAATGAATTATTAATTGATATATTTAAATATCTTGATATAAGACGATTATATCGTAGTTTTTATAATCTTAATGATCGAATTAATAATCTTCTTGAATCTCTTAATCAACTTTATCTTGTTATTTGGTCATTAAAAGATGATCATTATGATGATTTATTTGCTTCACGTGTTCATACATTAATTGTACATTTTAATGTTAGTTATAATTTATCTCGATATAATAATGTTCGTCATTTAGTTTTATTTCATTCAAAACATGATCAAATATCTCAAGTAATGATTAATGGTAGTCATTTAGAAACTATGTCACTTATTTCACCCAGATGTTTTTATACAACATTTGGTTTTCATGAAATGATTTTTTCAAATAAATTTCCTTATTTAAAATCATGTCATTTAACAAATGTATATTCACCATCATTTCAACTACGGCAATTATCATGGAGTCAATCACCATTTCTTCGTTCTCTACATATATCATCACATGATTCACTTATTCATGTAGCAATTTTAAATGCATGTCCAAATTTACATTCTCTTCATCTATCACTATTTCAATTAGATCATACACCATTTGATGTTAAACCACATAAAAATCTTAAGAAGATGAAATTTATTCTAAATAATTTAATATGGCCATTGGATAATACAATTTTTGAAACATTTTTCTATTCAATGCCATATTTAGAACGATTAATTATCCAACGATCTGCTACTATTCCAGAAATGCTTAGTGATCTTCTTCAATTTGATTGGCTTTCCAAAGTTATTACTCAACATTTATCATATCTCAAACAATTTGTATTTTATCTCCATTTTATAAATTCTAATAAAATGGATCAATCTGAATTCAACAAAGTTATTTGTCAGATACAAACAAATTTTGTAAATAATTTTCATAATTATAGACATTATCGTCTTAAAATCAGTAAAATCTAATATCAGGAATTTTTTTTTCATAATATGTGCAATACTTTCTTGTCTTTCTACAATGTAGCAATAAATTATAAACTTTTGGTTAAAATTATTATTATTATAAATAAACATAAATATGTTTTCTGTTACTTCTAGATATAATTATTATACATACAAATTAAGATTCTCTAACTTAATATCATGCTACCTACTTGGTTTAGAGATAAGTATGATAGCTGAAGGTTGGACACGATCATGTACTAATCTACATTATCTTCTATTGAATATGTCGAAAAGTAATGTCTTATCATTTCATATTCTACGTGTCTTCAAACATAAGAGTATTCATAATAATCGATTTGTTATTTTGTTTGATAAGATTTTTTTCATAAAAGAAATATTTATTTTTCAGATAATTAATAAAACATGATTTGATTAATTTATTAAAGACAAATACAGAAAAGTAAGTACCTTGTGTTTATGTCTATACTGACATAGATGATAAATATGAGCTATTCTCCTTCTTGTAGAGAAAAGTCCAGTAAGAATAAATAGTCTACTTGACGGTGTATCCGCAGGGTCAAACAAAACATCGAAAATCGATTTTTCAAGAAAGACATTTCTAGAAGTAACTCGATACGGGGACCTCGAATCTAATGTTAGTGTTTGCAAGTTATATAAGTAAAAGGTCTCGTAGCATTGTAGAACACCATTTCTATGAGAAAGAGCTAAGTGAGTCGTTAGACGAGCGTTACTTGTATTTAAATAGTAAAGAAAATTATTAATTTTTTTTTCTTAGGTTATAAACATACACAATGGATAGCATACCAACAAAATTCGAAGAATTACCAAATGAAATTCTTATCGATCTATTTCAATATTTTGATGCTCGAAATCTGTTTCAAATATTTTATAATCTCAATTATCGTTTAAATACTTTAATACAATATTTTCGTCATTTAAATCTTACTTTTTACATGGAATCATTTATTGATAATCAAATCAGTGGTAATTATCTCTTTCCATTCTATATTCGTACACTTATTGTTGGTCGAGCAATTAATATTAATCTTGATCGATTCTCAAATATACATTATCTTAAATTAGAATGTCCATTAAAACGAGTTTTAGCACAATTAAATTCAAATGAATTACCTTATTTACAACAATTAACAATATCTCATATAGGTATTTTGACATAATAATAATAATAATTTTTTGTTATGTATTTTTTTATTGAAATAGATACATTGACAACAGTTGATGAATGGAAATCATTACCATCATTACATATTTTAAAAGTTTCACGTATTACTTTATTAGTTTATAAAACAATTTTAAAAGCATGTCCAAATTTAATATCATTTGAATTATCAATATTTAGTTCCGATAAATCCAAATTGAATATTGAACCACATATTAATCTTAAAAGATTAGTAATAGATATAGGAGATTTAATATGGCCATGGTCTGATCATAGTTTTGATAGTTATTTATCTTGTGTACCGAATTTAGAAAAATTTCATGTTTATCGTTCAATTTTTATTTCAAAAGTTACGGAATCTTTATTAGAATATGATTGGTTAGCATCAAAAATTACTCGATATTTATTGTCACTTCATCGATTTAATTTTTATTTCAAAATTATTCAATCACATATTTATATGAAGTCAGATATTTTATGTCAAATAAAAGAAAAATTTTTAAATAGTCATACTGATCGATATCAATCACGGCTGGTATTCTATGAAAAAGAATAATAAAGAATTAGATTCTTTCATTAATGTTTAACATAGAAAAAATACTTGAAACTTTATATCTAGATAAAAATATAATGTGTAAATACTTTTTTTGTATAATAGTATAATAAATTAAAGAGAAGTTTTGATTAAATAAAAAAAAAATAATATTTGTTCTTAATTCTTTTTAGATAATTATCAAAAAAACACAATGATTACTACTGTACCTGAAATGTAAACAGGACAGTAATCATTTGTATTTCAAACAATTTTACTCATTATAGAAAATCAATTCAATTTATTGTCGTTCAAAAAAAAGAAGAGTCTATGAATTTCACAGGATGTATATATCATTCAACGCTTTTAATCAATCCGAAGGTAATATATACTTGAATAATTCGAGCAAAAGAATCAGCTATCTTACGAGGCAACCACTCGAGGTGTCAAAAAGTTTTTGAGCTCAAATTTTACCCACAACTAGAGGATGCATAGACTAGAAAAAGCCTAAAAAGATACATGCCCAAGTTGGTGTTTGACTGAAATATTGACTATTTATTGTATTTGTCTTACAGGTAGAGCCCATCGGGTCCGGGTCCGAATAAAATGAGATATATTATCAACATTATATTTGTATACTACTCGGTGAACATGAGAATGCCATTTCGGATTTGAAAACTAGTTGATAGGTCTTCAGAAAACTAAATCAGAGACCTTTTTTTTTTCTTTTTTTGCTTCTCAGTTTTGGTTTTTGGATAGTTAAGACTAAAAAATTTTCTATAGGTACAGTTCGAGTTCGGGTCTAAAAAAAAATTTTTGAACGGTTCCCGGCCCAAAAAAACGTGGACCCGATGGGCTCTACTTACAGGGCCATATCTGCGCGGTAAAATCTAAGTTTTGAATATAGGCCTGAAACCTGATATCCATAAGAAAGCATCCCTATGCTAACATACTTGTATCTCGGAGACAGTCTTTCTGAAACTTTGTAAACAAGTTTCTCTAATTGAGATCTTAGTATAAACAAAGTTTCAGGCCTAAATTCGAAACTTTGATTTTACCGCACAGATATGATCCCATAGGACAAATACAATAAATAGTCGATACCTCAGTACAAAAGGTTTTTGACACGTCGGATGGTTCTCTCGTTAGTAAAATATCAGTCTTCTCGTTTTATTGATCAATCATGAATTTATTTTTCATCTTAGACTACAAATAAATATAAATCTCGATTAGAAGATCTTCCAAATGAATTACTTACTGATATATTTAAACAACTTGATGCTCAAAATTTATTTCGATCATTTTATAATCTCAATAAACGTTTAAATCAATTGGTTCAAGCATTTAATTATTTACAACTTACTTTTCATATGAATCAATCTAATGTTCTTAAAACAAATGGTGAGATATATTCATTTTATGTTCATACATTAATTGTTGATCCCTGGATTAATTTTAATCTTATACATTTTCCAAATGTTCGTCATCTTACATTAAATAGTCCATTTCCAAAAGTAATCGAACAATTAAAAGCTAATGTTGTGCCATATTTAGAACATCTTTCTGTTTTTTATACATATAATATGTATGAAATTAATCTTTTACATAATGAAATATTTTCCAATCGTTTTCCAAATTTAATTTCATGTGAATTACTTGAAAATCAAACATTAATGACAATTCAAAAATCAACACAATCACCATTAATACGTATTTTAAAAACGAAATTTATTAATTTATCAATTTATGAAAGAATCCTTTCGGTATGTCCAAATTTATATTTTCTTAAATTTTCAATGCATTCATCAAATGAATTATTACCAAATGTACAGTTACATAAAAATCTTAAATATATGATTGTTGATCAGAGCGAAACTGATTGGTTTGACGATGAGTTCACGTTAAGTGAGTTTTTAGCTCGTGTACCAAATCTTGAACAACTTGTATTTCATCGAAGAAATTACTCACGAAATATTATACAATATTTTGAACAATATGATTGGCTTGCATCAGTTATTAATTTTCATTTACCATTCATTCGGAAACTTAAATTTCATTTATATTTATCAAGTGATGAAAATGTAAATGGAGTCATCGATAAAAATATACTTACAAAGATACAAAGTGATTTTACCAATGTACATAAAGGTCACTATAAAGCTCAACTTGAAATTCATTTAAAACCGTTGTAACTATTCTTTTTTGTATTTTGTACAAAATTACTCAAGAATAAAATGTCATATGAATAATTTAATCTTTGTTTTTTGTTCCTACATAAATTAAATACAAGGCGTAAAGAACAGAGACTTCATGCCTGAAGTCTCATGAAGTCTTATAAGATCTCATGAAATCTTCTGGAATTTCTATAGATGCATTAATTTCACGAGGAGACGAGAGAGAAACAACAGATACTTCATGCATGAAGTCTCATGAAGTGTTGGAAATCTCTTGTAGTCTTTAGAAGTCTTCTGCAATCTTTTGAAGTCTTTAAAATCTTGAAGTCTTTAAGTCCGTTGTTCTCCCCTTGATTAAATATGATAAAGTTTAATCAGGAGGGAAACAACAGAGACTTCATGCATGAAGTCTGATAAAGTCTTAGTAAGTCTTTGCAGTCTCTTGAAGTCTTGTGAGGTCTAATGAAATCTTTGAAGTCTATAGAAGTCCCTGAAGTCTTATGAAGTCTTCTAGAATTTTTATAGATACAGGTATTAGACGAGGAGACGAGGAGGAAACAACGGAGACTTCATGCATGATGTCTCATGAAGTCTTGGAAGTCTCTAGAAGTCATCTGAAATCTTTGAAGTCTATCGAAGTCTTTCGAAAAACTGAAGTCTCGCTTGTTGAAATCTCCTGAAGTCTTTGAAATCTTGAAGTCTTGAAGCCCGCTGTTTCCCCCTAGAGTTTAATTTCCTATCAGTTGAAATGAAATCACACATGTCTATTTTTATCTTCATTTCGGTTTGAAGTTCAGAGAGTTTATTTACAATGATATGACCCTTATGATAATACGATAACATTCATTTTTATCTTAGCATATTAGTTAATGGAAAATTTATATAACATCTAGTATAATCAACATTTATTTTAGTTTTAGATTAGTTGTATACATGACTAACACAGTATTTCTATTAGAAAATTTACCTAATGAATTAATTATTGAATTATTGAAATATTTCAAAGCTCAGGAACTTTTTCAATCATTTTATAATCTCAATATTCGTTTTAATTCTTTAATTCAATCTCTAACTCATCTGATTTATTCAACAAAACAAAATGATAATCATATTTTGTCTTATCCATATATTCGTACGTTAATTATTGATACTAAAATTCAAGATCAACTTAGATATTTTACAAATATTCGTCGTCTTATTTTGGATTATGCAACAGATGATTTTATATTACAATTCAATGGAAATATTTTACCTAACTTAGAATATTTATCCATATACCATAAAATTCATCCATTTTATATGCCGGATTTACGTATGAAAATTTTTTCAAATACATTTCCTAATTTAAAATATTGTTATATATCACGAATGCGACCACCATGTACAATTCAAGATTGGACACAATCATTCTCATTACGATTTTTAAAATTAAATGATATTAATTCATTTATTTATATATCAATTCTTCAAGCATGTCCAAATTTATATTTTCTAAAATTTAAATTACCAATTAAATCCAAAATACAATCAAATATTATAAAACATATGAATCTTAAACGTTTAATAATAAATATGAATTATGATGATTGGCCTTGGGATGATACTATTTTAGAAGATTATTTGTTATGTGTACCTAATCTTGAACATTTTCGAATAAGTCGATCAATAACAATAGATGAAAATACAATACATTATTTACAATGTTATGATTGGCTTTTAGGGATAATTTCTAGTCATTTATTTTCACTTTATCAATTTAAGTTTGATTTATGTGTCAACCGGTTTAATCAATTAAATGAATTAGATTTTCAAGATATATGTTATCGTTTGAAAACAAAATTTAATACAGTTTATCATGGTCGATATGAAAGTCGATTGGTAGTTTTTTGAGAATATTGTTTTTCAGGGTATATGTGAAATAACTGTAATAATTTCTATAACAGTGATTATTAGTTTTTTAGACTTTTAAATAATTGTATATTTAAATTTGAATAATTAATAAATAGAATAATAAATTATATATTTCTTGATTTTTTCACGAACTTATTTCGACATTGTTTGAGTAGCGATAGGCTTCGATGATAATGAGCGTAATACCTTGAGTGAAGGCGAGGATAAGGATGTCACTAAAGATCATATAAATCCATCACGGTACTCGCATGTAAATCTATGTTATACTTATGTTTATCCTCGCACATCGCTCTTCCTTCTCACCTATGTCTACCCTTGCCGCCAGGTCAAACGCATCCTTATAGAATTTGTCAGAATTCCTTTATTTTATCAGAGTATACGTTTCATCATTATTCTGCTGAGAAAGCCTATGGTTGCAACATTTTGTTCCAGCGCCTGAATGAGATATACTTACTCTAATCACGATGATTTCGATTGATGAAGACAAATTTATTATCATTCTAGCTACTATTAACTCCACTTTTATTAGTTTTCTAGTTAAAACATGTTTGATGATTTTTTTTATTGAATACAAAAACGTTTACATAGTTTGAATTTGCATCCCCTAATATTTCTAAATAATCATATATTATCGAACATATGCGTTCGCTTATTGATTTATCTTATTCGACTATTAATTTAGATTTTTAACTGTCTAAAACCATATTTTTGTAAATTTAAACATTGTTCAATATCTTTCATTCCATCAGTTGATGATTCATGTGATAATGACATTGCAGCAATACAAACAGCTAAATGTAATGTTTTATCTAATGGCCATTGTTGATGAATTCCATAGATCATTCCAGAAACAAAAGCATCTCCAGCTCCAACTGAACCTTTAATAAATTCTTCTGGTAAAATAATTGATCCTTGTAGAAATACATCTTTATCATTCGTGATTAAAATAGCACCTTCTGCAAAATGAATAGTTACAGTTTTTCTTAC